TTTTCTGAATATTTGTGCTAGACAAAAAAGTAAGACCTATCTGAGCTGGTCACTTTTGGTCAAAACGGAAAGATTTTCTGCGTATAGACAGAGGCAGACAGGATGTATTTTTAAAGCAGAATGGCTTTATGAGTTTTTGGCGATATTGTTATTAAAAGTCGGATTGCCAGCTGAAACAAGAGTTTTAAGAATGGGTAGTCGAATCATCACAAGCAGTATTCAGCCGCTCTTATGCATAAATTACTTAAAGTGAAGTAAGCAAATTCTGCTCTTTCGTATAAAACCGATAGCACGGCAAAGTGCACATAATAAGGGCGGAAAGGCTTTCAGACGGGAACACTGATCGACGTAGGAAAAGCATTTGGAAGAAGTGACAAAACGTTGTTGCTGTTGCTGTCATTGTCGTTGGTGGTGGTGGTGGTGTGAGTTGGAAAGGCCTTCAATCTGCACTGGTTTCCGATGCTTACGAAGAGATGAGGCGACAAAATCTGCCTTCTTTACCATTAGTAGTCAACGGAACAACAGACCATTTGAGGTTTGTACCCAAGGCACTTCATCTGGTAGATATTCCAATCGCCTTCTGCAGTAACTACCGTCTCCTGAACACAAATTTCAACTGAATGAAGAATCGGGGTAATCTGGACGCCTGTTAGAGGTACTGCAAATGTGGCGATAGCTGATACATCCGGCTATCTGTTAACCAGCACGTGAAATGATTTTCTGAACTGGGAACGACCAACTTGAGAGGAAACAGAATCTACATTTTTTCCGAAGTTTACTGCTGCAATTTTCGAATATTTTCGATTACGTGTGTTGCAGCAAGTTTATCCGAGCAGTGTTGCACAATCAGTTATGCATGAAGACCATAAAGGCGGGAAATTCCAAAGCTGACGCTCGACCATACGTCTGCTTGATATATCGTTAGAAGTGATTCGTGTCTTCGTAAAGACATCGTAAGCAGGATTTGCCTTCTTTGGTCTGAATGGTTAATTCAGGACTGCCAATGGTGCTGTGACATTTAACTTTCGAGTCAAAAATCGTATATAGAGGAAAAACGGTAAGATGTGGTTTGGTAACCCCACCTGATGGATAACATACTGTTAGGGTTGGGGGATAGGATTAGGTGTCAGGGTTAGTTGTTATGGTTATGGATCATGGTTAAGTGTTGGGGGTTATGGTTAGGAGTTAGGGGTTACGGTTTAGGGTTAGAGATACGGGTTAAGGTTTAGAATTAGGGACTATAGTTCGGGGTTAGGGTTGGAGGTTGGTGCAGAGTACAACCGCGCATTCCCATTTGCTTTTCTTTTGCATACAACTAATTGACCTCGTCGCATGTGCGTTCCCCCGTCTCACCTCTAAAAACCCCTACTTCCAACGCGCCCGTATTAGAGGTGACTGGGACTGGTTTACTTTATGTGGCGCTACATGACCACATCCGACCGAAAATGCTCGTGACAAGCAAGATCGTCTGGGATTTGATAGATGAACATATACGAAATAAGTTCTCTTAGGTTAACCGTTATTACACCAGTTGTGTGTAAAGGCCTTTGTTTTGGGCAGGTGTTAGATCGTTATTTTGAAACGTTCCATTCCGTTCGTGTATGTCAGTAAGAATGATAAATATCAGCAAAGACGCTGAACCCATAACAACTCTTACGGAGCATCGTCAAGTTCTTCATTGTAAATCGTGATTCATTGTTTCGCCATCGGGTGTTAACTAGATCTACTGCTTACTCCAAAAATTTAGTTGTTGGTATTGGATTCTCATTGCTGAATTGGCATCGGCTGCCTGTATTGGCTTGTTGAAGCAAGTTCAAAGATCATCTTTTAAAGTTGTACACTGCATCACTTGAGAAAAACACGGTCGTATTTGCTGGACTTGCATAATTGTACACGTCGTACGCCGTCAGACTGGAAGGTCCGCGCGTGTGAGAGCGTTTCCGGATTGACGAAATCGAGTTTAAGCTGCCTCGAATAATCCGTCTTTGTGTTGGTTGTCCTTGCGTAGTTTCGTTCATTACAGAGCCAAAGCCATTATTTTGAAGCAGCTCAGTTCACTAATTAATGTATTTGAGAATGATAAGTCTCAAAAGCACGGCATCATGACAGGCCAACAAGAAGTCTTAAGGAGAATCATGAAATCGTTCATCGCAAATCGTGATTTTTCACCATCTGGAGCCATTTTAAATCAAACATACGGTTTTTTGGAAATATTTGAATTGGTGGAGCCTGGGGTTGCTACGGTATTTGGCGCACCTTAACGGTCTGTAGGTCTCGTACAAATGCATGCGTATATACATATTCAAAATGGAAAATTTATTATGGACACAGCTTATGGCATTTTCTAAATCAATAGTAACCATTCGTTATTCGAGGATGCGAATGTAGCAACCTTTTCAGCAGAACGTACCTTCTAAATCATTTCCACGGCTATGGACCGGAACACACAGAGAGGGGAAACAAGTATGCAAGTTTGTGCATTTTACACTTCGGTGAGGAATGTAGACAAAACTGCATCGGAAGTTGAGAGTATCTAAGTAGTGAGCATGTAGTAATGACGAATACAGACTCATGAAGCCAATGCTGTCAGCTGCGGCCTTGCATATGAATTTCAGTCTGCTAGGAAAGTCTGTTTACTTTTGGCTTACAAACACGGAAAGTATTCCAACAAATAAGTTTGCAACTTAATATAAAACAAGAAACCTGTTGACTGTGTAGTATGAATTGACGTGATTAATACAGGCTAACCCGTGATTGATTGAAGAAATTTGTCTTCCGGTAATTTTCTGTTTTCCGCAGATATGTTAACTGGAGGGTGGGGTCGACTGACAAAAATCAATTTTTTTCCAGTTCTCATTACGTCAGCGAGAATATGTGTAGACCACGTCGACGAGAAATGTTTGAAACCGAGTTTAACATTTGAATCCCTAGGGCATGGTATGTGCATATATATACACATAGTTAAAAATGAGGCCATCTTTTCTTCGGAAAACATCGTCATTACTGCTGGTCTCCTCAAAGCTGTCCAGGCAGCTGATTCATTTGGAAATGTAATTTCTGACTGAAAACTGAGTTGTAGACGAAGTGATTGAGACAATGTAGAACATAGATCTCCTGCATTAGCCGATAACTGAAAGCGAATCCGGGTTTATGCTACTATGTAGGGTGTTGGAGAGTATTCTTGCTTGTGATAGGGGTAAAACTGTTAGTTCGAAACGGTTCAGTCAGTTGCGTTTTGCTAATAAGACTAAGACGTGCTAGTAAAACGGAGTCACGATGGACAAATTTCAAGTTTTTTTCGGAAAATCACCAGTCGATTCATAGAATGTCGTGTGTAGGCGTCTCGCTATCTGCTATCTCCTATAGTCCGTACTAAATCATAAATACGGTACTTGCCGTTGTTCTGGTCGCATTTGTTGAGCCTATGCTGTCCGGGTTATAGAGTGTAACTAAAGGACTTATAAGCATAGTAAAACGGCATATATATACAAACGAATTAAGGACAGACCCTCCCATGCCCCCGACTAGGCTAATACTGGTCGTTGGCCGCACTGGGACGCTTAGTGACAACAATTTTAGAGGTCTAGTGTTCAAATGGTTTGCTACATTTTGTGAAAAAAGTACGGCTGTAATTTACTGCAGGGGCATGATTGGTATTTTGCAGTTTGCCAGGCTGGAAGATCAGCGTAACTGTGAAGATGCACATTCTTGACGGAGTACATAACTGTATAATGACGGTAAGACATTCATCAGCTACTGCACCTGATGGGAGACTCCAGTGTTCCATTGGATCTCGAGAGTTAACGCCCTAACATAGGCAAAGTACATTTTCCTAAATAAACCGTTATTATTTTGTCTGTCGTTCAGTGCTCTTATCAACGACAGGGTAAAACTATATTTTATAAAACAATAAGTCATTCACATCATTTACTGCAGCAAAAATTAGGAGGTTTCACTAAAACCGAATGAGAGTATATCAACAATAACAGGTCTTGAGTGGAATCGTGAATTTGTATATGGAAAATCTCAAGCAGAGATTTGGTCATCTGATATCATAGAATACTGTCGGATAAAAGAAAATACGCATATGATTCTTCACGCTTTTAGCCTTGAAGCATACAAATATATGTTGGTAGGGGGCGCTCACCGATCGTTCATACGGAACTCACTCGTTCCGTTGTGCCTTAAGGGCTCCCTCTCGAGCCTAACTGTAAGGAC